GAAAGGGAAGGGAGGGAAGGGAAGGGAAGGGAAGGGAAGGGAAGGGAAGGGAAGGGAAGGGAAGGGAAGGGAAGGAAAGGAAAGAATTTGGATCTGGTTGGATTTGGTGTACGATTTTTTTAATCATTTGAAATTTTTATAATATATACAGGTCATAAAAAATTTTTTAAAGAAAAATTTTTTGTTTTCATATACTTATAAGAAGCAAAATAAGTCTGTGTTAAGAAATATAAAGACAGTGTCTTAGCCTATAAACAATTCTTGAAATAGGAGAAACCAAGATAAGATTTGGAGGATGACCAAGAACTTGCCAAGTCAGAGCACAGGGTGAGAGTAAAGACTGGGCAAGATGACATCAGAAGTACTGCAGGAGTTGGGAAAATATCAATAAGAGCTGAGAAGAAGCAGCCTGGCTCACCTCAGCTAAAGAGACTGCATTGCTTAGAGTAATTGTCCATTTATTTTTATTTCTCAGTGTCAGTAGATAAGAACTGAGTTCTGGATGACACTGCTGTGCTGAAATAATAGTCAGACCATAAGGGGCTTGGACCTGGATCCAGATGACGATGGGATGTTAAGAAAGCATGTGAAGATGAGAAATACTGTGGTTAGCTTTTCATTACACACACACACACACACACACACACACACACACTCATGCATGCACATGCCAGTTATTTTCAGGGGAAAATCAGAAATAGGAGAGCTGTTATGGGTTACCTATGCTTCAGGGAAGGAATTAAGTTGGTCTAATTTCTCCATGTGAGAAAAAAATTTCCACTTCCAAAATATTTATGAGATAGAATGGACAGAACTGGCATAAAGGAGGTAGGAAAGAAGAAGAAGAAATCAGAATATTGTTAAGATATCTCTGTATGTCTAGGCAGCTGGAGATTTATTTTGGAGTAAAAGGGTTATAGTGTATGCAAAATAACTCTGTGTTTGGCCTGGTGGAGTTTGTGTTCTGACTTGTACATCCAGAGAGTGGTCTAGTGAATATTTAAACCAATTTGAAGTTCAAGGATGCCCAGTGTAGATTTTCAGTTACCAGAATGTCCCATTAGTGTTGAAACTATGCATAGACACCACTGATGGGAAGAGAAGAGGTCAGGTGAAACAGCTTTACTACATCAGCTACGTCACCTCTTCTTCCATGCAGTACAGGGCATGTCTGTCACCAGCCTAGCCATTCTCCTTTGGTTTTGATGACTAACTATGACAGGCAGCTCATTTCACTTTCTCCAATCAAAACTATTGGTTGTTACAGGAGGTTCATTTTACCTTCATTGATCTGCATTGGGGGTCTTTCATTAATGTTTAACTTTATAGATGTGATATACACACTGGTGACATATCCTCTACTAATCATTTTTAAGAAATTAGGCTCAGGTGTTCAATTTTATGACTATTCATCCAAGTCACTCACATTGATATTTCCACTGTTGTACTCACATCAAGAGTTCTGCTACTTTCTTCTGCTCAAACTTGGTATGTTTGTACTATTACTCTGTATTTCACTCCTATTGATCCTTCTAGTCTTTCTTAGTTAACCCAGAGTTAACCATTTCAACCATTGTATTGCTTATAGCCTCACCAGTGCTGAGCCAAATTTAGGGTTTTTTTTTATTATTTAGTAAATATTTACTTTTTAGTACATTTTAGTCTTCTTAAAAACTTCACAATTTTAGTAATTTTAATTGTCATCAAAATTCCCGAGTCAGGCATACTCACGACATTTTCTAGAAGAATTCAACAAAAAAGACCACAGAATCCCACACCAACAATAATGCTGTGAACAAGAACAAATGTTCCAGGAAGAAAGAAGTGTAGAAAAACTCATAAAGAGATACCCGAAGACAACAGCCAGCACTGACAACTCATAGCTGGAATCAACCATAGAAGTTGACATGTAAATTGAGTGAATGAACTCTTTCAGCCTCTGGATTGAGCTGTCAGCAGAGGGTTTAGATACTATGGAACAAAGACAAGCCTTTGCTTCAATAAGAAGTTTGTCTCTCAATCTAACACTTTTACAAGAATAATTTGATTTTATTTTCCAACAAAATTAAGCAAACCCAGCTCATGCATGCTACTACGCTTCCCTTGAAGCATTCCAGTGACCACTGCTAGCTGAGGGCTTTATTGAGGCTTTTCCTCCTTTTTCACCATCCTCAGTGGTTAATGAAGTTTCACTGGTTCCATCTAGTCAATACCACAAATCTCCTGACTCTCCATGGCTCTCCACACTTACTCTCTACTCAGTTGTATCTTAGTTCTCACATGTGTTTCTTGTGCTCTGTGCCTGTGTTAAATCTGCCAGACTATCAGCCCTTGTTCTTCAATTTTTCTACATTAGCCGTAGACTGTACTAGGTCATGCAAAAGATATACTCTTCTGAACCAGGGATAATCATATAGTTAATTAGAGATTTATAACAAAGAGAGAAGACTGGATATGGATAACAAAGTAAAGACATGCTTTTGGATATAATGAGGTTGTAAGGTAAATTCATTGGTAATGATGATATATTGACAGGAATTATTAACCATAAAATTTCATATAGGCTCATATTAAGTAATATCTTTGAACTACTAGTCAATATTCAGAAAATAGAAAATATGTTGGATGAAGAACAAGAACTAACTTCTCTTGCACATGTAAATAACAAAACAGTATATTTTCTCTAGTAGTAAAGACTTTCAAACCAGAAAAGCTATTTCTCAGGAAGTCAGAATTTGAATGGAAAAACTGACCTTGAGGTACCCTGCGAATCTTATCACTGATATTCAGCATTGCCTTTGCTGATGAAACAGAACTTACATCAAAAGACAAACAGCCATTATTGCTGGAAGCCTGCTATGCCTGAAATCCACTAAGAGACAGTAGGAAATGTTATCTCCTGAGCACCTCTGTGAAGATCGTTAGAGGTCTTACTGATGCTATATACAAAATCATTTTAACTGATTATTTGAAACATCATTTTTCTTCCTTCTTATAGGAAAATGCACTTTTTCTCTTACCTTGCTGTACAAAGGACCCATACACAAACCACATGGAGTTGTAGAGTGTAGTAGATGTCATTGATCCCATTTGCAATCGTGGGGGATTAAGCCAGTTCAGGAGGTAGACAAGAAGTCCCACAAGAAGCACTGTGCCAGCAATGCAGGCCCACAGAGATAGATCAAATGGTGCAAGGCAGGCAAACATATCCACTGTTTTTTCTGCCCTTCGAAGCAGGACACCCACTGAGTAGTCCATGTAGCGTGTTGTAAAATCCACAACATTCTCTCTGTCTGGAGTGATGGTTAAAGCTGAAATTCCGATGTCAGCTCTCTGGGAAATTGAAAGAGAGAAGAATACATTAATAGTGTGAAAACAATTCAGTTTGTGGCATTACAGTTTGCCTTGGGGGAGAAAAAAATGATGCCTCAGGCAACATCTTAAGCCTCTTTACATAAACTGAAAGTACTGCAGGGACTTCTTATAGACAGGCTTTATGTGAATTTTCCATATATTACTGCAGTTCTTGCCCCAACTGAGTGAAAGAAATTACCTCCTTCACTTTGTCAGTACATGTGAAATCAGTCAGGAATATCTCAGACGCAGATACACCTCAATGAACTGTCTGTTTTTCCTTTTAATTCATTTTATCAAAGTCATCTTCCAAGGCATTCAGTAATTCTTAACATAACATGTAAAATCATGAAAAGGTCACTTAAAACTTCAGTTGACACCATCCTTGGTTTAAGTTTGTATGCATAAGAGACTATATTTTGGGCTCTAAGTTTGTTAGGGCTGATTTAGAATGTCATATGTCAAAAGGTTCCATGTTTCTGTTGCTCTTCAGAAATCTTCAGAAGCTGTCAATAGGAAATCAATGACCATGGAGACAGACATTTCTTGATGTCATAATAATTCCTCTTCTCAGGATACATCTTTAGGCTCTCAGTGATCATGATAGCACATGTTAAGAGACATTACAGAGTTGCAGTAAAGCACAGAATAAATAACTTTACACTCAAATACTATGATATGTGGATGCATATTTAAATAAATAGGCATCTCGTTTAAAATAATGATTTGTGGTAGTGATCCAAGCAGAGGGAAGCCCTCTCCAGATAAATATGAATATCAATAAATTGTATGTGGAACATTTTATAGTTGTTTTTTTCTTTTTTATTCTTTTGTGCAAGTAAATAGAAATGTAGTTTTAGCTTTTATGCACTGAGTAAAAAAGAGAGAGAAGAAAAGTAAGATGCCATGTGGAATGCTAAACTAACTTGAATGAATTAATCTTCTGAAACAATAAAGGTCTTAACATGTTCTAGGTAAAATAATGGTTTGCATGCATGCAACCATGCATGTACACATGTGTATGTGTATGAACCAGGCCAAAATCTACTTGTTGCTTCAGCCTGTATTATGTAGCTAAATAAAATATGTCAACTAATCCTTATAATTATTTATGAATTATACATTTGCCCCTTCATTTTAAAGTCAAGAAACTAAAACTTGGAGAGGTTGAATGACTTTTTCAAGTCTCAGTTGATAAATATAGAACTAGCGCTGAATATATGGTTATCTCACTCCCAAGTTTATGATCATAACTATTTTAAACTTTTATAAAATATCATCTAACTTACAATAAATCCATATCTTAGGAAGTATGGATAAGTTTGTAAGACAGAAATAGAATTCTGCTTTTCTCTTCTGTCTGCCTGTTTGTGTACATATAAATACACATCCATGCTTGGTGTGTGTGAAGGAGTGTGTAAGTGTGTGTGTGTGTGTGTGCACACGTGTGCACACATGCATGTGTGCGTGTGCATGTGTATTTACTGTGGCCTGAATATAAAGGTCAAAGGACAACTTACTGGAGTTAGTTCACTCTTTCCACCATGTGGGTTCCATGGATCAAACTGAGGTTATTAGGCTTGGGGACAAGTATCTACACCTCTTGAGCTGTCTTGCTGGCCCTATACTGATATTTTCATACTGAGTATATCTAAGTGTTTTAAATAAAAACTTCTGTGGGTTATTTATTTATTTAGATATGAACTAACATTATTTTGTATGAACTAAAGTGTTAATAAATATGACATTTACCTGCATGGATCTATAGATCCTAAAATTTCTAAATTGTCACTAAATTGCACTTGTGTATTCTATACTTGGGAAAAATTTCAGTGTAACCCGAGAAGGTAAGTCAGAATAAGGATGGTATTTCAATCTTATACATCTATGCCCCCCACACACACATACACCCATGCACATGCTTCGATATGTGACAGTTTTTGACATAAGTCATAATTTTCTGTAGTTTTATTATTTTCCCCTTATGACCTCATCTAATCTATCATTATTGATTTTCTTTTATAAACATTTGCCTTGTCCTCTCTTGTCATCGTTCTTCTGGGCCCCTACAACTCTACCTGAAATCTACTTTTTTTCCTCTTTGTATTGCAACTAGAGTAATCATTCTTCAGAGCAAATTAGACTCTGCTATATCATGTTTTTTTAAATGGTTTTCAATGGGTTGTCCTCATCATCGGAAGATGATTCAATTCATAATATGAGTTATGCATGTTTTGATGCACCGTCCTAGACACACATCAGCATGGACAAACTGTGTCATCTTTTTACCCATCATCTTTGCGCATGATACTTCCATGGTCTGAACTCTCTCCCTAAAACTCCTTCAAGATAATTAACATCTGAAGTGTTTGTAAGGTAATCTTTCCATGACCCTTTGTTAAGATAATAATTGGATTTATACTAATAATTGCCTTACATATCTAACTATTCCACCAGTTACAAAAAAGTTATACTTTTCATTTATTTGCATAAATTTTAATAACGTGATTCCACTATTAGACTATAACTACACACAGGCAGAAGCTATGAGTGCACATACAAACTGGCACACACACTCTCACCTACACATTCTAATGCCTACTACCTACAAACTGACTTTTCTCTACTTACTTTCTTGTCAATATTAACAGTCAAAGGAGGTTTCCCTTTACTTTTCTTCCTTCTCATCTTTTACAGAAAGTCCAACTAGGAAGCCCAGGCAGGCCTATAAAGCCTTTCTCCTTCCTTTCTGAATGTCAAGTGCTAGCCCTATAGGCATGCACTACAATATCCAGTCAAAGGAGTATATTTTTTTTTAAAGAAAGAGGAAGAATTTTTTTTACAAAGATTTATAGCAATAATAAAAGATTAACATCTTGAATAATTACTTGGAAATTTGAAGTGTATTTCTTGGTTTGTCGGCATTTATGTATTTTATAGTTTTTCTGTAGTAATTAAGCATCTCTTCTAGCAGGCTTAATTTTTTTTAAATGACAGTATGTCTAACATTTAATATAGAATGTTTATTTAAATTTTCATTAAGTGTAGCATTAAAACTAGAATATAAGTAAATATATTCTCAAAACTATTTTAACTAATTACAGAAGGCATACAAAATTTGTACTTTTTCAAGTCATGAAACAAGAATGATGGGCAGCACACAACACATGGATATAACCAAAAAGAAATACAAACAGGAATCTTAGAAGATTATCTCGACAAGAATCTGAGAACCATTTTTTCAAAGCTCAATCAGAAATAAATTGTCACAGGAAACAAGTCATTACCTAGTTTGTCCCTGAATGTGATGCTGTGAAATTCACAGTAACATGGATAACTGGCATGAAGTCAGGTGTTACTTTGCATCTTTACCTACATCCTGTGTTCTACATATGTGTCTTATGAACACATCTAAGTTGTCAATATTACCTCAGTTGATATTTATAATTCAGTTTTTAAACATGATTTTGGAGGGGCTGAGGATACAGCTCAGGAAGCCAAGCCCTTGAAACAGGAGATTGAGGACTTGTGTTCAACTACCAGAACTCAAATTAAAAAAAAATAAAGAAAGGAAACAGACAAAGCACAGGCAAGGAACTGTACAATTATTATAATCTCAGCTCTGTGAGTGTGGAGACAGACAGAACACTGGGACTTTCTGCCCAGCCAGTCTAGAGTACTTGGTGAGCTCCAGGCCAGTGAATAAACTGTTTCAAAAAATCCAAAGTTACGGTGCTTTACAAGTTAAACCTTAAATTGATTTCTGGCACACACGTGCATATGCATTTACAAGCATGTTACCCACAAGCCTATACATCTATACCTACAGGCACATACATATGCACACAAATTAATCTGGAGTCGATATCATTATATTTGGTAGGATATTATGCTAAAAGTCAAGAACAATCTGCAAGTACTTTAATATGATACCCCAGACTCTTCTAAGTCCTTTTAAACTGGCTTTGAGGAAAATGCTGGCTTCATGTTTGTCTCTTGATGTAATTTGCATCCTTCACATCTGTCTTAAATATTTTGAATATTTAGCTGTCAACTTTGGAAGTTTTGGAAGTAGCACCTTCATTCTTTTTTTTTTTTTCAAGACAGGGTTTCTCTGTGTAGTCCTGGCTGTCCTAGAACTCACTCTGTAGACCAGGCTGTCCTCGAACTCAGAAATCTGCCTGCCTCTGCCTCCCAAGTGCTGGGATTAGAGGTGTGTGCCACCACCGCCCAAGCACCTTCATTCTTAACACCAGGGGGGATGCAGATCACATTTGTACCATCACTACAAACCACATACCTCTTCAACTCCCTCCACTCATATCTTGTTAAACCAAAATGTAGACATATATTTCAATCAACTATCAATATTCTTTGCTATATTATTATTCAACCAGGTTTCTCACACAGTTTTTAAGTCCTTTGGAATAGGCACTATTGAACTCAAAATAAGTGAGTAATCAGATATTCATCCCCTTATAAATAGCTTAACATACAAGGAAAAGATAATTAACCTTGCCTAGTCCCTGATTTTAGTGGAATTGCTTCAAGTTTCTCTCCATTTAGTTTGATGTTGGCTATTGGCTTGCTGTATATTGCATGTGTATTGCTGTATAGTGCATGTATACTATGTTTAGGTATGGGCCTTGAATTCCTGATCTTTCCAGGACTTTTACCATGAAGGGATGTTGAATTTTGTCAAATACTTTCTCAGCATCTAGTGAGATAATTATTTAGTTTTTATCTTTGAATTTGTTTATATAGTGGATTACATTGATGGATTTCTGAATAGTGAACCATCCTAGCATTCCTAGAATAAAGCCAACTTAATCATAATGGCTGATTATTTTGATGTGTTCTTGGATTAGGTTTGTGAGAATTTTATTGAGTACTTTTGCATTGATATTCATAAGAGAGATTGGTCTGAAGTTCTCTTTCTTTGTTGTGTCTTTGTGTGGTTTAGGTATGAGCATAATTGT